TCTGTTTATAATAATTTAATTACAGCCCGTAATTTTTAATATATTACGACATGTGTTGTGTGTCTACTTGTACGAGGCACTGTATACTTGTACGGTACATATTTGAGGACACAATCCCTGTTTAGAAACACATTCGTGAATTAATTAAAAAGATTCAATTTATACGGCAGGAGGTGTAACAATGACCTAATGTCATCGGCCACTATAAAAATCGAAGTTTCAAGCAAATTTCGGATGCTCGTGCGAATATCCGAGCGCCAAGCGAGATTCAGCAGGCGCTCCGCATTCCGACAGAGCTGTTCATAAACGCCAGCAGCGCCAAGTGGCCAGCGCTCGCCGGGAAGCGCGCAAAGGACCGGACGGAAGCGGTCGACGCGGCGAGCGGCCGACTTCGTCGCGCTTTTCCGGTCGGCCGGCGCCACGCGCGCTCCCCTCGCCTGCGCTCCGAACTAGAGATGCCGCACTCGAACTAAACGTCCAGGCTAGCAAACGTCCACGTTCGAAATTAAAATCTCCATGTTAAAAAAACATCAACGTAACGATGCTTTTTAACATCTATGGTTTTAGATTGATTTACTGACTTCTAACACTAATTGCGTGCGCATTAAAATTTATTTATTTTATTTATTTAATAGGTAATTATTACAAACAAATTAGATTACTTGATCCTATGTGGCTAGGCCGAAGTCCTTTAAGCCATTACAATACCTACATCCTTTCGCGTTCTAATCTTTCGAATTCTGGTATTCACCTCAAATGGTCTCTCCACCGCATCAAAGCCGCGGAAAAGAGACCATAAGGTACGGCTCAGGAAAAAACCCCTGAAGGAGGAAAAACCTGCTGTCAGAAGCCGAGTACATTCTAATCTATCCCACGTTTATTTTAACTATTTATTTTCTGGCGCGTACGTCCCGCCGTCCCGCATTAAAATTTAAACCACGACCTATTTATTGCTCACATCTCAATGTGCGAAATGAATACGATGAAAGAGAAAATACATGGGCGTGGAGGACCTCTCGGGCGAGAGTGTTTGGTAGTGCAAACAGCATATCTTTGGTTCCAGCACATGAACTAAAGAATCACTAAAGAATTAAATATATTTAGTTTCAATTATTGTATACAACTACATAAAGAAGACTGTAAAAACCATTTAGAAGGAATGGAGCACAATAGGCTATCTTGCCAAGTGCTGCAGTGCAACCCAACAGGAAAAAGGAGTGTAGGAAGAGCACGCAGAAGATGGTTTGATATGTGAAGACGGAACAGGCAGCCGCCTAATCCTTGAAGTGCAGAAGAAGAAACAACAAGAAGTATTGTGATCAAGGGAATTTTTCATTCGGAAACAAAACGTCAGAAAAGAAAAACTTCGATCACAAAGCGATTTTTTTAAACCAAAACTATTTACAAAAACATCGATGTTTTAAGAACTATCGGCATCGATGTCGCATCCCTACTCGAAACGGGTTGTCGCCCAGACAAATCGAGACAAAAAATCGTTTGTTTTATGTAATTTGAACGTTGACAGTGGACACATTTCTTTGCCAAATATTTGTACTCGATCCTTATCAAATAAACTGTGGATTATTAGTTTTGGTACCCGAGGTAATTTCGGACCCCCATGACCACGGATACTCACAAGCGAATTTACAAAATAAGATTTGTGAAGGTGGAAAATGTTCTTGTTTTCTGCGCAAAATATGCATAAACCTATTGTTGATAAATGTTGAAAAAAATACTTCCTTGCATTGAACTTATCAAAACATTTTTATAAAAGATAACTAGCACGTTATGGTAAACAAAAACAAGAACGTTTAACGCCTATAACTCTAAAATGGTTAATTTTACAACAAAATGGGGATTGATATTTAAAGAGATATCCGCAAAAAGCATCGGAAAAGCACCTTCAAATGGCCCGCCCACGGCTCAGACTCTACTCTTCAGGATTTTTAGTATGATATGCAGTAGGTACCAACAGACAATTACGTCAAGTTTCAAAACTCCGGGATTTTGTTCCTTCGATCGCCACATTTTGGTCTAATTTGACTGGACTATTGGGGCTGGGATGATGTGTCTTGCTGGAAAAGTTTAGGACTTCATGGAAGCCCCCGCCCAAGGTTGAAAGCTAGTGATGGGTCACTCTAAACCAGACATAATCCTTTGAATGATAGAAAAATCCTTGAAGTCCTGCAAATCCATGAGTGCCCTTAAAAACTGGAGAATCTTTAGAAACATGAAGAATGTATGGAATTCATAGAATTACATTATGTTCGACTATTCGCCCAAGTCTAAAAGGTAGTGTTGAGCCACTCAAAACAAGACAGAACCTTCGGCATCCCGGAGAACCTTCGAAAGTCTTCGATTTTTTGGACTATATTCCTTCACTTTGTCTTTTAAGCCACCAATTGTGTTTTTATAGTACAATATTCATAGGATAACAACGTTCCTAATTTCGTATTACATTTAATAACTCAGGCAGTATCAACTTATTCAATAGCATTGAATCTTTGCAGGAATTCATAGTTTCTTCACAATTTTTTCGTATTACGATATGCCTTTGTCTAGTTCAGTGTTTCAAATGAATGGGAAATCAAAATTCGAAAGATGCTAGATACTTATAAGGATTCTAATGTCTCTTCGCAAAAATTCAAAACTCTAGTCACATCTTTGAAAAATAAAAACCGTGGGTTCAAAATCGCTGATTTTATTAACGTAACATGTAAAAATGTACGTGTCCAAATAAAAAAATCACAAAGGGAAAATAAATACCATTTTTAGCCCATTATATTTCACTATCTCCTTGCATTATTGAGTAATACTTCTCAATTTTTCGTCAAACAAACGTCCTTGATTATATTCTACTTTCATTTCAAATATATAAATAAATTTAATAATCAACCTAACATTTCCATATAACATTCGTTATTTCCTACATTTCTGTTTTCCCAGCCAAATTTCAGTATTTAGGGACAAAATTGCATATCCATATCACTTTCCACAGCATATCTGTATGTGTATAAACTTAAGTTCAATGAAGGTAAAAAACTTGCATACAATGACAGGGGATACGTAGAGACTAATAAAACGTAATTAAGTACCAGGTTGCATAGCAACAATGTAATTATTGTACTTGCTAATTTCAGTCGGATCATCTCGCATTCTACAGGCGATCGGTGCAAATGATCATAACAAGAGGAACACACCTCACAGTAAATGCTTCCACGTGGCAAGCCGGACGTTCAGAGAAGCCAAGATTACACAACGATCCCGGTCTCCTGACCTGGTACTTCAAGATCCTTGCAGAATTGGGATATACTATACCGAAATACGACGAATGTTTGTCTTCTCGAATTCTTCTCAATCGCTGCTTATTTCGATCCTGCCAATTCATTGTTTTCTCAATGAAACCTTCGTGTAAGTCATAAGCTATAGGAATTTCCAGTGGATGTAATAAACATTTTATGTACACTAGATTAATTAAAAATTTATAATGTATTGCTTTCCAAATTAAGTATTTCATGGGCAAGAAACAGTCTAACGATGGTTTTCACAAAAAAATCTACGAAGGGAGAGAAAAACTAATTATAAATAATTATTACATATGGTACTTTCATATCCCGTTTGAAAATTGATAAATATTAAAAATTCCCTTTGTCTTACACTCTCTGCTCACGTGTAAATGATTTCTACAAAAATGTATAACAGTTGCAAGAGATATTGGTCCCTAAGTAATATGTTCGGACCATTTAGGGCTACACCAAATGTCTCTTTAACTATAGCATTGTGATGCCTTTTATATTATTAAATCATTCGTTACAAATTGTTCTAGACTGTGAAACTACAATCGATGGACAATAATCAAACTTCTGTACAAATGTTCATCTAACGAACTAATCGATGTAGTGGCGAGCATAGTGCTTCCCTAGGATTGTAAGCTCACATCTCTCATATACGTTTCCATCTCTGTTTACGGCTTGGTAGGGAAAGGCAAATCATAAGTACACCGAACACCTAAAACCAGCATCTATTAGTTCATAACTGAATCAGAATGACAAAAAGTACCAGTCCTCTGCATCTGAACGCTACCTCCTATGGGATATGGCGCGAGAAGAGTAGAGTGACTGGTGAACGATGGTGATCGATTCAAAATTAGTGCTTATATTAATGGTCATCAACATCATTCAAATAATGCTAGTTGTGATGCCTTCGCATTCACCTTATGAAAAATTCGGTTTCCAATTTATTTGTTCATATCCTAATTTCTAAATTTTATTATTATTTGTTGTTTTATTTTTTAAACTTTTATTCACCTTTCAACTATTTGTAGTTAAAATGTTGGAAAGGGATTCTGGAACTCAAGAAAACGTGCGCAAATGATCTCTCCCATACGTCACATACAGTTTTTACTGAATAAATAAATGATTATTTCTTAGTACTTGTAGTCCCTGTAGTTATTTTTCCTTTTATAATCGTATTCAGTAAGTACTACCTTTATTTCATATCCACATGGGAGAAAAGTAAGTTTTGAAGTTCTCTACAGTTTACAATGTATCTGATGAAGTTAAACAGCTGATTTGGTCAAACATAACCTCACTGAACAAATTCTCTTCGCATCCTTTGTCTTCGCAGTAGTGATAATATTCCGAATCATTGCTGAATCGTCTTCCAAATACTATCCATTCGTAATCGTCGAGCTGTAGACACACTCGGAGATCACAGCCGTTGAAACTTGAATTTACTCCGTACTTTACCCGACGGATTGTTCGCAGTTGTTAAATTACTCTCGGAAATTTACTCTCGTGTAAGCGACTTACACTCGAGTAAAGTGTTGGTGAAACGCTCCAAGAAGTTACTCTCGAGTAAACATGATTTACGGCCCTAAATATTTTTACTTAAAACTATTATATAAAGTATATTTTCAAAATTATTTTCTAGCTTAAACGTAATTTTTGTTACTTGTTGAAATAAAATAACTCATAATATATTGATGCAACTTTCACATTTTAAGTTTTCGGGGAGGGGGCGGGCCCAAAATTGTCTAACTCCGGCACTAGCCTCAGAGCGCCCACATTCACCTCGCCCCCCCCCTCCACAACGAAGTGAGAGCGATCAGAAAATCCGTTCGCAACCAATACTCTGATTGAATCCCAAGACTTATTTCGGGAACGTTTTCTTGCCCAATTTTCTCGATTTGAACATAGCAAAATGTCGTAATCATGAACGAGGAATTTTGTGTTAACTGTACCTCTAAGAGCGTCTACATTTGTCTCCCCCCACCAGGGCCCCCGATAATTCTTTTAAAAAAATATTAAATTTCAAATTTATCAAAAAATAAAAAGAAACCATGTAAGAAAGAGATGCATGATGAAACAATACGCAAAAAATGTCATAACGGAGTGATTCCTATTCATTCTATTTTTCTTTGTAATTCTTTGTTCATTATATTTTTCTTAGCATAAACTTATATTGAAACACTTTCAAAACAATTATTCAAAAAATATAAAGAAAATCCCAAAATACAATGTAAATTCATAGGATGTCATTATATTTCAAAATCGAAATTGAGGGGAAGAGACCGATGAAAGTAAGAATAGGGGCCCTGCCCCCCACAGCGAAGCGAGTTGGCAATCAGGTGATCCGTTGGCGTCCCACTCTCCATTTCGGCCGCTGGCCGCCGATCCCACCCCTTTCTCTTTCTCTTTCTCTTCTGTTCCCACATCCCCGCGGCCGCCACGGCCCCCGCTAGCAACACGCACACGCGTGAGAATGCCGTGCCGTGACGTCACGCCGCCGCTTTCTGGTTGTACCGCTAGAAGCGAGGAGCGAGAGAGAGGAAGGCGGTTCCTGTTCGGTAACCTCAATCCTGACCCCCGGCGCACGGGTCGCCGCCAGGCGCACGCGGGGAACAATGATAGACGGCTCGCGGCGCGCACGGGCGCACATCCACACACTCGACGAGTTCGCGTCGGGACACGCATGGTCGGAAGTGCTCCAGTATACCTGTACCTCTATACCTCATGTGCCACATTTGATTTAGGAGCACATCTACAGTGATTACTACTGAAATAAATACTACCAGAGCTTGATTTCTGGCGGATCACGACGGAACGGCGTTCTGGTACCTCGGAAACAATTATTAAATTATATTATAAATTTGTAACTATTTCTAAAGTTAATAATTAATTTATGGGCGAGTTCCGGAACCTAACATTTAGTAAATCAAGCACTGAATACTACCATCTGCTGCCTTTTTTTAATGGTTGATAACTAGGGTATAGAAAAGTACTATTATAAAATTTGACACTCCGTTCTTTCAAAACCTGTACATGCGTCTTCTAGAATTCTGCACTGAAAATATTTTAATATCCATGAATTGTCCCTGTCACGCAAATATAATTCACAGTTTTTAATTATATTTTTCATGCTGTAGATAAATCAGTCCGAGGTAACGACACGTCAAATATTTGTACGGTCCTCGGGAAGCATTCTCACGAGCACAGACAACTGAGATCCAAGTCCTGCAAGAGAAAGTCACTGGAATTTGATAAAGGCCCCTACGACCCCACCGCGCTGGGGCCTAAAGGTCCGTATGTTAGCAAGGAAAATGATGTGACAATTTAATTTTGTGACTAGTCAAACGTGTGGAACTATTAATTGATTGATTGGGCAGAACAATATTTAAAGAGGGCCAAATACGAGATGTACTCACCAGACCACTATCGACATCCAGGTTCATTCTTCATGCCACATGGTGCCACCCTGCAAAACCACCTCCACTTCAACCTATCTTGAGAAAAACTATATGTACACATTCCACGTTAACACCACACATCGCCATAGGATTTCACTTTGCCGCCAAACACAGCCATGACGTTTGCTGTAGAAGATCACCTGTTGAACAGAAGCGTCCGCATGTTTTAAAAGGCGAAGGAATCTAAGCGAACCAGAGGTCGCTCTGCGCAGCACTCGCGATCTTTCACACTCGCATCGGATCACCCACGCACCAAGTCGGCCTGCCTTCGCGCACCCGACGCTCACGTCCTTGCCGAACTACCTGGCTGCGCCTGGCTGGTTGGCTGGCAGCGGCAGCGGCAGCGGACGAGGCCTACGGCTGGCATTCGACTTTCCTCGCAGCGACTGACGTGACATTACCCCCGACGCTCGCGCGCGCGCGCGCCCGCGGCGCCATCTGCAAGGAGGCCTTCGAACCCGCGCCCGCCGTGGTCGCGATGCTTTCCAGCAGGGGGCACCACTGACCTTCGCGGCCTCTGCTGGAATCCTCACGGATCTACAGCGCGAAAAGACAATTATCCCAACTAAATGGGGATAGGACCCGCTCGGATACGCAGAAATTCGCATGATTGGATAATACTATGACATTAAATAAAAACTAGTGGTGCTAAAACATCAAGTACTTCTTCGCCCATACTTTCAAGCAAATTTCCACCAAAAGTACTCAAATTTTTGAAAATTTGTAGAAGACCATTTTTCAAAATCTATCTCGAAGAATCAAATTTCGTTAAGGGAAAAACTCTCTATCTTTATTAATTTAGTTGTAGGAAGACTCCAAAAAGTTTTTTTGAACTTTCGCAATTTTCGAAAAATTAGGATTGTCAACAAACATGTGACCTGCACCATTCTCTTAGATAATGAAGCCATTTTTTTTGAAAATTTGGAAAGTGTCCCAGAGACTTCATGTAACGCACCCCTCAAAATTAAAATATCGGTTTCAAATTCGATGGGCTGCGACATCAGGCAGATCGAATGGGGAATATCAATTTTGGACAAAATTTGCAGAACAGTTTAGCCGCTAGAGTCTCTCACAGATAGACGGCCGGATAGACGGGGACATTTTATCGTCGATCAATTTTTCGGTATCGAGCACCGAAAACACCACACGAGCACAGCAAAACATGGATTCTGGCCACACCATGCGTTAGAAGATTTTTTCCCTCAAAATTTAACAAGTTGTAGTTTTACGAGACCTTTTACATGACCAGGGTTCTGTAATAAGCATTTTTCTACCGAAAATTTGCTATTTTCCCCCCTCAGCATTACGTAACTTTCTCTCTACTCCGTAGCGAGAAAGTAAAACGTCAGAAAGAAAACACGTAAATGAGCGTTAAAAAAAACAAAAAAAAAAAAAATAAATAAAATAAAATAAAATAAACTGAAATCAAGCCGACAGCCGGTTGCTATTTAACCGATAGAACGCACATTCGACCTCACACTAGACACAAACACACTTGCGGGCTCCTCTGATCTGGGGTCAGCAGAGAGACAACCGTACATGAGAAATAAGTGACAAACAACCATGTCCTAGGTGGGACTCAAACCCCCGACCCTTCAGACCGAAGCGCTGATTCGGTACACGCTCTTAGCCACTTTCGCCATCCAGATAGGCAAATTCTATTATATTTATATAAAGAGTAAATTAAGTTTTTTTTTCTCCCGAAAACGATTCGGATGATTCGGGTTCAAGTATATGTGCCTCAACTCTAGTATCTACAAATTATCATATTTAAATTCAAAGATAAAATCGGAGAGCTCTTTGATTCTATATCCATGAAACTCAATGAGGACAACAATAAACAAACAAAATATCCAAAATTCGAATTTGCCAACAATCATATTATAGCAAAATGTAAATTTACACATTTCATTTGTTTCAATGAATTATTGTAATTTACCTTCATATTTATAGTATTTTACTGTTTTTCAAAGTGAAAGTAATTCAAAAGTTACAAATACAGGAAAGGAAGTAAATATTATTATTCTTGAATTTTAGTCTGTTAATTATGTTTACAAGAACTCCATATTTTTGTAACATTTCTTCTTTAGTCTTCTTTTACATTTTCCAAAGGAAATTTTTCCTCAGAGTTGGACTCCCCACACACGATTACTGCATTAACATCATGACTTTAATTTTTCACAATTTGATTTTTTTCAATACAATACGATTAATTCTCAATGATCCAGATAGTGATTTAACTTCGAAGTCTCTCTCCTCAAAACTTTCCTGTCTTCAAAATTTCTTTCTTGTATGAGTACATATGGAAAATATGCATTTGAAAAAATGTATCTTTGAAATAGGATTTTCATTTTGGCTTCAATGAATACAAAATATAGTAGATTCAGACTTAATCTCACATTTGACAAGGGGATCCAGTTGTCACCCACTTCAAATTTAAGAAAATATGTGACATTAAAAGGCAAAAAAGATCTACTATATTGAAATTCCTCATTCTAATAGTGTTCGCCAGAAATGCAACATGTTAGAATATAAATAAATTTTGGAAAAATAGCGTCACTTATTTTAAAAACAGTAATCTTGGACATCATAATTAAATAATTTTCATTAAGTGGATAACTTGAATGTTATTCTTTCTTATGACAAAATGTGTTGCAATCTTGTAGCAATTACCATCTCTGGCATGATGATGTCAGGTACAAAATCCAAAGATTCCAAAACCTTCCATAAATAAGACAGATCTGCTCAGGAAAATGTGTTTGCTGATTTTAGGCATTGTATTGGATTGTATTCTCTTAGATATGGGGAGCTTCATAGATTGAATTACTTTTTTTAAATATTCAGGTTACTTCAGTAAATTCTGTAGAAACCTTGTTAAGATTTCTTGATTGAAACTCCCAAAGCCAACATATAACATTGTGATTATAGCCTAATAGATATTTTTTTAGAGAAGGTGAGTACAAGGGACAGAATTTTAAAATAGGACATTGGCATATACACCACTTATGCTATTTGTTGACAATTGTAGAGCATAAATGAAACCTGGCCTAAGTGTGAAAATATGAAAATTGCATTTTGTGCTAAAAAGTGTGGTAAGAATAAAATGGGCTATCTGATATTCTCATTCTTAGAGGTTCAAATTGTTGCACTATACTGTGCTTCAGTCAAGTCTCACAAGGTTTTGAAACAGTTTTTCTTAGTTGAGAGCTCCATTTTTGGCACTTAACATGGTTTTCACTTACTGTCTTCCCAATTGAAGGCCATACTTTTCCCAAACATCATTGTAGCTTCACCTCAGCATTCCAGCTTTGCATTTCATTGAGAGCTTGGAGATAGAGTTGTTTTGGCAATGATCAAAAAGTTTTGCAACACCAGAGTTAGAGCTTAATCTATTAATAATGAGGCAATATAAACTATATTGAAATGAACTACTCAGTAATAGAGGGTAAACAGTTTTAATTTTCTGCAGTTTGCTCCTACTCTGTAAATTCAAAAACAAAAATTTGTATGTATGTACTGTTAAGCCAATGGTGGTATAATGTGACATGTGCACAGATGCATTCAAATGATATTGCTGCAGCCATATCATCATCAGAAATGGAATATCAGGTTATGCTAAGAATAAGACAAAGTAAAGGTTTTGCTTGGAGAAGTTCAAGAATTCAAAGTCTGAAGAACTGTGGATAAATTGTGAGATATGCTGTAAACTGGCATAAATAGGCATTTCTGCATAGAAGGGTAGATATTCATATGTGATTTCTGCAAATGAATGTGTAAACAGAAATTTCTTCTTTATATTTAATTATTCTGATTAGTTTCAGACAAAGATTTATTTGAAATTAGAAACCTTCTTTAAATGTGCATTTTTTCCATGACATTCATTTAAAAAAATTAAAAATTACTGTTTTTTAGTACTTAATAATTAATTGCAATATTTCAAATTCAATTTACGTGATGCTTTTGAACTTTTTCAAGATGTTCTATATTACAACCTGATTTTCTGGAGACCTTTATTTTGCTTGTATTTCCTTTTTAAACAATATCAGTAACAAATATGTACTCTGGTGGCTTGTTACTACATTTAGAAAGTAAAATCATTTTTGGATAATAACATCTGAACAACTTTATAACAGTTTTCAAAATTCACTATGAGAAAATAGCGTCACAGAAATACTTATTTTCCTCTTTACCCTCAATGTAAGTAACTGGGGTTAACTTAATTACTGGTAATAATGTTTTCATTTCAATATTATACCTTTGAAAATCATAAATAAGATTTTTTGTTTGTTTTTATTGATTTTTCATTGCAGATTGATTTGCTCTCTCTTTATTGTTTTCAAAATAGTGACATATCCGAATCAAAATAGCACTTCTAATCATACAGTTTTCAACAATGAAAACTTCTTTAGCCCTTTTTGTTGCTCCGTTCATTTTTATGAATGATTTCAGTTTTATCTAGCATACGCAGAGTGGCTCTGCCACCCCACAAGCCACCCTCTGCTTGCACACATTCTATATTGTTCTGAAATAATTCATCAAAAAGAAGGATTTGAATTGGGACATAAAATATAATTGAAGTGCTCAGAATAATAACAGCAACCAACAATAATAATAACCAACTGAAGTTCTTTTCGAGAAAAATGACTTTCTCTGATTTTGTTCATGTTCACTCACAACCATGTACAAAGTCTTGAAGGTGGAATTTGAGAGTTTTTCCTTATCCCAATTCATTTGATATTTCAGCGTATGATAGATATCTGATACCTCCAACTGAAAATGTGAGGTCGATTGGGATCTCCCATTATTAACCTGAGCTTTTCAATTTTTACTTACTTATAATGCCACAGGTTTAATAGAATGGGTGTCTTCTAGCGTAATAATATCTTAAAAGTCATGGTATTCATATGTTTTTCTTCTTCTCTTCAAAACAGGAGCTCCTAAAAGGTTATCAAGCCCAATAAAAGATGAAAATAGGCTGAATAATGTCTTAAACTAAACATGTAAATTGATATGAAAATATCATTTACACATATATTTTATTTACTTCAAACTAGTTATTAAACACGTCAATATGAAATATAAAAAGAAACACAGAAATGAAAATGCTAAATCATTTATACATTTTAACAAATTTCTATTTCGTTTGAAATTTTATCAACAATTTCTGCAGGTTGTATTCATAATAAAAGAATGTTGCAAATGTTTCATCTACCTAACTCATAGTCCTTCTTAGAACTAAAAATGTTATAAAAATTAGCTTAGTAAGGAATGCAGTAATATAGCTTCAAATGAATACACTAAAAAAATATAAAGATTAATATTCTTGGATAGAAGCTTAAAAAATTAAAAACAAGCATACCAATAAAGAGCAAAATAATGTATTTACATATAAGCCTAAGTAAACACAAACCTATTTTGAGTTCAACATGCCGAAATCAATATCGATTTAACTTCTCACTTTAATTCATATTCTCTACTCCTTATACTTTTACTATTATTACTACATTTCAGGCACAATTTAATATTGGAATAATAGATTGCATAAATTATCTCTTTCTCTTTTGATGCAGTTCAGCAGCCACAGTAATTGGACTTTCTTTCTATATATTTTATCTTCTGTCTAATTCTTTTGCCAGGAATGCCACTTGTTTTATTGTTCATGGTTTCAAATGCACTAAACAGTGATTATTAGTCTTTTAGAGAACGAATAAGTATTTTTATTCTCAACAGCCATTTTTAGGACCTACAATATGGTTCCTTTTTAATATAAAAACATGAGAGTATTGATAATTATTTTGAAGTGTCTAGGTTGAACTACTTACCATTATTAATATGAAATCTATTAAATTTCATGATTCTGAAGAATAGTTAAAAAAAAGTAAAAAGAAAACTAAAATTGTTTGTTTGTAGGGTTAGTGAGTTGTCATGAGTCTATCTTACTTAAATAAAAGATTCCCTTTCAAACATATAATTATTAATGTTAAATGGACAATTCAATATTATTTTTATAACACTTTTTAAACTAAATAACATATTTTATGAAGACAAATCTTCCTTCTTTCCGAACTATTTGAGTATTTCTAATTATTTTCATTAATAAACATCCTTCTACACCCACTAGACATTACACTTCATATTGCAACTATCATTGGATTTGTACACAATAGTACAAAATTATAATGTGGTACAATACCTTCATTTATTGTTGCACACAAAATCACATGATTTACTGATTCCATTCTCTTGATATTCTGTCTGTTATTGTTGAATTTACACTTTTGTCTTAGGAGATAATACATTACATTTAAAATCATTAATGTTCAGTTCATACCTTAATAGATTTTAGAGACAAAAGTCTGTAATCATAATCTTCTACCAATATAAAATTAAACTCCTTCAATTACATAACCAAAGCCATCTCTTCTAATATGGAGGATTTCAACTTTTATTTGACTCGTCAAGAATATTAATTCTTGTTGATTTTGACAATTGCTATAGCTTATAGTGTCACCTTGATGATCTGCAGTTCACAATCATTTTGACTTCTTGTTGAATTTCACTTCCAGACTGCTTTAATTACAATTACCTACTATATAATTTTGACTCACTTGCTGCTGTAATACAATCTGACTCATGTCAGTATTAAAGGAGTAAAATAGACATTTGGGTGATCTGGATCAGATCACCCACATGACTCTGGCCGCGGAAGCCTACGACTTCATTCAAAATAGACATCTGCCCAAATATTCAAAGTCTATTCATTATCTTACAGTCTTACATAGTGAAATGTTTTTCTGCGATTACAGATTTTCAAGGATTGCAATGATATAAACATTGTCAATATGTTAGTTTGTCAATATCAATTTATCAGCTAGATAAAATTTAATTTATAACAATTATTTTTTTTCCTTTTTTCAAAGACAAATAATTCAAAATAAAGCATATAATTTGTGGCCTGGGCCAAGATATCAACCACCCATTAATAGCAGGAAAGTAACTGTTCCAAAAATGAGCAGAAAATTTTATACTCTACAAAATTTATTTGTAGTATTTACAAAATTTTTAAGAAATTGCAAAACCGTGAATAATAAATGCATTTTAAAACATCAGTGGGTATTTTAATTTATAACAAATAACATAGTGTACATCAGAACCAGCAACATTTATATTTTTTTGTTGCTGTTGCCCCAACACCTTTAAATTAACATTAATAATAGAAGTTTCTTTGAAGGGCAGTTTACATCAAAAAATGGTTTTTTGCATAACATCTTACAGCAAGCTTCTTTAAATGCTTTTAACATTAAATGGACTGGAATGTATTTCATCTCATACCTAATTTAATCATATATGTTTTTGTATATTTTGTATACATTTTGTATGTTTTTGTGTATTACATTTGGTTTTCAAGTATTAACAGTTGAACTTTCATTGAATTGGGTTTGGGTTTAGTTATTTATTTTTGTAATTCTTATGATCTTCTTTCTTTGAGTGAATATTGTGATAATTTTTGACTTCGTCATTCTGAACTAATTTTATATATAAATTTTCAGTTGCACCTGATGAGAGAAACAGAACATTCTTTGAAACATTGTCGAATTTCACACAATAAAAATATGATTTAAAAACTTTTGGAAGAATTTATTGTGATTGTTCTAAATTGCAAAAAAAACCTGAAAAGCATTTTAAAAACAATTATAATAGTTACAAGGAATTTAAAACTTGTAGTATCCATTTTAATATTCAAGTTTGGTATTGTATATATTTCACAAAGCCTTGGTTTTACAAAGCATTCAGACAACATGCATTTATCCGGAACACTACTGTTTCATATGTTATAGTTTTTTTAACAGATAACTTTGTGGAAATAGATTTTCAAATTACTTGAATAACGTTGAGGATACATACTAACTTGCAAAACTATTTCTTGTGACATGTAATATTCAAATTCATTTCTATATAATTGTCACCATTCCGTTACCTTGTTGGAAGCAATTACGCTTGGAGAATATATTCTGCAGTCGCAAAGAAATCCAAATTGTGACTATGTTACTGACTAACTATGCATTGTAACGGGATGATGACAATTATATATAATATATTCAAGGAGCGATAATCACGCTCATGAAAACTGTTTAAAGGATTGGTTGTCTCAGTAGCTTAGTGCTTAGAGCAGCAGGGCATAAACCAGAAGGCCCAAATTCAAGTCCCGGTCGAGGCATCTAATTCTTTGAACAAATTTAATTATCAAATTCATTTCTATTAATAATTTTCAGTTTAAATATGTCTTCATCCCGTCTATCTACTTCTACTGATTTAAATTTTGATTCATTAAATTTTTATTAAAAATTTGTTTCATTATTTACTGTAATTGTCATTCTTGCAATGCTATCTTTGGTGTAAATTTACGATTCTGTTTCAAAGAAAATAATTATAGTTATAGTTATATGTAATGGAAGGGACTTTAGTTCACTGCCTTTTGATATGTTTTGTGTAAATAATGGATTTTAAATTTTCTAATATAATTTCTTCATAATCCTAGGTAGATATTTCCATTTTTACCCATATTTTAAAACAAGAGATAAGCATTTGTAAAAGTAGCTTTCAAAAGATAATTTATCGGCTTAAACACTTAAAAGAAATTACCAGATTATTTTACTTCTTTGAAAAAACTAAGATCTTGAAATCCAACAATTTAAAGAACTTAATCAAATAATGATCAAAAGTCGTTATCCACTTCACCTTTTTGAGGATATTTTGGCAAACTTGAGGTTGCATGTGTATTTTCAGCTTTAGATTTAAAGAATAGATTCTTTCATATAGAAGTTGAAGAAGAAAGTAGACAGTACACGTCATTTGTTACTCTCTCTGGACAATTTCAATTCATGAAGGTACCTTTCACATTATCTAACTCACCTTCTGTCTTCCAAAGATTTATTAATTGAGCATTTTAGATGCTTAGCAGGGAGGATTTGCTTTTCATTTACAAGGATGACATCATCATTCCAGCGGAGGACGAGGAGGAGGGCTTGCGAAGGCTTATTCAAGTTTTGGATAGGAGATAAGAGATCAATTTCAATAAATATCAGTTCTTGAAACAAGTGGTCCACTTTCTAGGCTACAGAATCCATTATGGAACAATTCAATCGTCAGTCAGAAAAAAATTCAGCTGTTCAAAATTTTCCGGAACTGAAAACTGTGTCTGCTTTACAATGTTTCCTAAGACTCACTGGGTACTTCAGAAAATTCATCCAGGACTATGCTTCAACTGCAAAGGCTTTTAGTGACATGCTCAGAACCGGATATGAGTTCAAGTTTGGTGTAGAAGAAAGATAAGTTTTAACAAATTAAAGCACTAATTATTTACTGTCCAATATATGAGACAGAGCATCACATGGATGCCTGCAAGAGTGGATATAAATCTGTTCTTACAGAGCGGCAGAGACTGCCTGATGATGGCCATCTTTACCCACTGGCGAACATGAATAAGAAGACATTACCATTAGAAGAAAAC